CAAGCAGTGCCAGGTATACAGTGGCCTTGGGGAGACATGCACAGTGTGGCATGTGTGCCATGGCCAGGCGGCAGCCTTGCAGAGCCATCCCGAGCACCGTGTGCAGCCAAGTCGAGCTGTGCAGCTGCCAGCAGACCCGCCTCTTCCTCTGCACGCTCTGCTCCAGCCTCTGTGGTGCTGCACATGTTGCCCATGTGCTGGTCCTTGCCTCCCTCCCCCTCGGCTCCCCAGGGCCTTCTCCACCAATCTGCGCTCAGCCCAGCCCTGCGCAGGCAACACTGTGTTGAGTAACAAGCAGGGAGCTCCTGCTCTGACTGCCTGAGCTCACTGCTGCCGGGCTTTCCTTGTCTTGAACAAGGGCCCCTGCAAACCTGACCTGCGTGGACACTGCTCTGCGCCCTGACCCTGCCAGATCTCACTGGGATGAGTCAGAAGGACGTCTGCAATGGAACCCAAGGTGGGCACAGGAGACAGGTCTGCATCTAGCTGCCCACCATCTCTCAGGCAACGGGAGGATTTGGGCACACTGAGGTCAGCTACTCCCTATGCCAAGGCCTAGTGAAAGGTCTCCAGTGTCCCCAGAATCTCAATAGTCTGTAGGGCTTGGCAAGCCATGCGACAAGGCATGGGTCAGGCAGGGCCCATATGCAGCTCTATTACATGAGAGCAAAGCAAACAAATACCCTCCATGCACTGGTCCAGGGACGGAAGGGTCATTTTCACAGCCACCTCCCAGGCCAGATCTGCCCTGCGGGGACTGGGAGAGCACACCAACCAGAGGGAACACTGAAGAACAGTCAGAACAATCTCACACCCACACCTCTCTCACGCTCACACGTGCTCCCGCACACAGCCCCTCTCCCAGTCAAAGCCTCCTTGTTGCTGGACAGCCCACTCTCCATGCTGGAATGTGCTCCCTGGCCCCGCTGCTCAGTGCTGCCCTTTAAGCGCTGGCTTCATCTCCTGCTCCTGAATCATTGTGGCAAAATCACACAAGACAGACAGGAACAAGTGGTGCTACACCATGCTCCAAACGCCACCTGACACCACTGCCCAGATAGATAGCTCTTGCTCTACCCTAAGAGCACCGGTACTGCTTGGCTTCTCTTGCACTGTTCCATCCTGCTTGCCTGGCCCAACCTCGCTCTCAGCCTCTCTGTGCACACACACTGTGCTCTCTTGCCTTCTTGCAATTTCTTTTGCTTGCCCAGGCCCCAGAGAAAGGTGGCCCCCAGCCCTGTTCATGGCTCAGACCAAAGTGCCAGCGGCTACCCTGTTAGGTGGAGTGGCTGGTCACACAGCTCTGGGAGAGGGTCAGACTAGGCAGATACGTCAGCTTACTGCCTGGAGCAGGATGGGGCACAGGCTGGCCAGGCTGGCAGATCTCATCCTAACACTGTGGAGAGGCTGGACAGGAGACCTGGCACAGGCTGGCTGATGTGGGCGCGTGGCTGGCATATATGTCCTCTTCCCACCCCTGGAGCCAGGTGGAACGCTGCTTGAATCATGCACCAGAGCACACCCTGGAAGGACCAGCACCAGGGAGACAAGGCTGTAGTTGTCCCTCTGCAGCACTAGCCCCTCCAACACTACCAGCTGTCCTCACCACCCCCCAGCCTTGGGAAAGGTGCCACGCGGTCACGCGCACCTTACGGGGCTGCGGTGCCATTCTCCCCATCCCATGCTTGTTCAGACTTGCACGTGGTTCTTAGATGAGCGATCTCAGGATAACGCTGGCACTGTGGAGGTAAGAGATGGCTGAGATTTGTGGCCTGTATGTGCCCACAGCTTCAATTCCTGCGCAGAGCAGATGTGTTTCTGGTCTCCACAGCAGAGAGTGGCCCACTGAGCATGGCCGTAGGAAGCCTCCCTATATTTGGTGCTGCCTTGCTACCCTGGCTCCTTTGTGCTGCCCGGGCCTCCCTTGCCAGCAGTTCACAAGGCTACACATAGAGCATGGAGGGGAGAAGCCCTTTTCAAGAAGGACCTTACACACTCTCCTAGCAGGAAGATTTCCTGCAGGAGTGCCAGCCCCGGGTGCAAGTGGTCTGGATCATCCTTACCTTGTGCATCCCTCACAGCATCCTTGCAGCAAGCAAAGAGAGAGGAGAGCCAAGTAGGGACCATCCAGCTAAGAAACCCACAGAGATAGGTCAAAAATGTGGCATGCACGTTCTCCTGAGACCCCCAGCACTGATCAAACCCCATCGCAGAGTCCAAGGCTTGATCCATCGTGAGCTGAACTATCTCCAACACCCCTGGAGCCCCTGATTCCAGATCTGCTTGGTCTCCCAAGACCATACTAAACTTTGGCCATGCATGAGTGAGCGTATCCTCAAGACCTCCTCCTCCCATGCCAGTGTAGGAGCACATCAACAACAGCAAGGGGCGCAAACCTGCCTGGGTTCCCCAGTGCCAGCAGCAATGGCACCCTTATCAGACCTGTTATCGGGGTGTTCCTCTGGCACCCACAATCCCCCGCTTTGTATGCTATCACCTCCTGGGTATCTTGGCTCACTCCCCAGGAGGAGAAAGTTCAGGCTGGAGCCAGACAACAGTAAACACGGGTGTGGGCACACCTGCCTTCAGCACCTGAGGCAGTGCCCCCCAGCCTCCACATGCTATGTCACCCAAGGGCAAAGTGGGATCATCCACTGGGGTCTCCGGACCAGGCTAGCAGTGAGGTGCCTGGAAGCACGGCATGATGGAGGGATGCCACATCTTTTTACCACAGTCAGGCACAGCCTTTCACAAACAGGAGTGACCGGAGTTTCTCAGGACACAATACTCAATAGCGCATAGAGGACAGACTTGGAAACTGCTGTACAGAGCATTAGAGGGCACAGATGGGGAGAGATTCTGGTCTCCTGGCACCTGCAGACCGCAGCTTAGCTGCTCCATCACAGCAGGATGGTTCTGTGTTCACCAGCAGCAGCATGTGTCCTGCCCCAGCAGGGACTAGTTCAAAAGCAGGCAGGTCTTGCCCCTATCACCTCTCTATCACCCATGGGCCCTGTCACTGCCTTCCCCAGGCAAGCAACCTGGATGCTTGGCTCCAATGTTCAAGCCTGGCAGCCTGTGCTGGGGATGATGTCTCGCTTCCCTCCCACGCCCACAATGCCAACTGGCTGCAGTCTCCTAGAGCAAGGGGAAATCTCAGCCTCACTCCCGTTTTTGTCTTGGCTGGGTGGGTTGCAGCTGAGAGCTGGCTTCGCCTCTCGCTGTGCAGCCGGGAGCCCGGGCTCAATGTCGTTTGCTTTGGCGGGTGGCCTGGCCCCTCCTTTTCCACCTGAGAGGCGGCTCCGAGTTATGTAAGTGCAGGAAGAGTGTCTCCACCGAGAATGGCTCTGAACGAGCCGCCAGCTCAGCATGAGATGCTGGCTTCGGAGAGGAGGCGTATGCGTGCACCCTAGGTGGCTCGCATTCATGGAGCAGCCACATGTGTGCCCACCTGCCTTCCTGCACTGTGCAAGGAGAGCATATGTTGGCACAAGGGGTGGTTTACATGCATGTGCACAGCCCAGGAGGGTGAGCGAGCGAGTACGCCTCCAGGTGCATGTGTGTGCAGGAAGGGGAGGAGATGGTGAGGTGCTGGGTGCTTTGCCTACAGATGTGTAGGTGCTGCCATGCACCCCACCTTCAAGCTGCCCTCCCCCCCCCCCAGTGGAGGAATGAGTCCCAGAGGCAGTGTGCACCCTGACAGTCTCCTAGACACCTGCCACATGCCTACCCACGGACCCACACATCCGTTCAGCCCCCAGCCCTGGGAGGTGGCACGTATCCCACACACGCTGAAGCCACAGGCAGCTCTGGGAGCTGCTACCCGTTACCTACCACAGCTCCCTTCTGCTTGGGCTCTGCACCGCCCTTAGCCAAGCTCAGCTTTCCCAATGTCAAGCTGGATAGCCCTGAGCCCACTGGCCTCCAGCTCAGTGTGTCCACTGCGTGTCTCTTGAGCCCTTCAGGGTGGCCACTAGCTGGTCACTAGGGTCAGTCCCTTCCCAGAGCTGGAGCTGAGAGTGCAGGACCAGAGACAGCTCTGTCTCCCTCCCGAGGCCTGGGGTCCCCCATCTCCAGGGCCTGAAAGGCCTACAGGGTCATAAGCCTGGGGAACCCCCTGTTCAGTCTCCTTTTCTATGGTGGAGCATTGCCTGCAAAGCCAGACCAGGGGAGCAGGGAGGGACCCCAGACTCCCACCTTCCCCAGCCTTGACATTGTCAGGGTAAAGCCCAGCCCTCACACAAGTGGATGATACTAGCCCAGAGCATGTCCTGCTGCTCAGGGGCATGCAGCTCTGTCCCAGAGGAGCCTTCTCGGAGCTGAGTTGAAGCAGCTGGATCAGGGTAAGAGTCACTTTCCAGAGCTGGGAAATACCACTCTGGCCAAATCTGTCGCTAGTCAATACACTCCAAGGAGAGGCAGGGAAGCTACTGAAAGAGCAGGACCTGGCAGCAGGACTTTTGGGTTCCCTCCCCAGCTTCCTACTAACTCTAAAGGGTGGCATCACGGCTGTTTCCTGAGCGACAGGCTGCCCATCTCCTTGCATGACCACCATGTGGGCAGTGCCTGCGAGGATGAGATGAAGCCAGGAAGATGAACGTAAGGTCCAGGGGCCAAGACACAGAGCTGGAGGCTGCTGTTGCTCCCCAGACACGCAGGGCACCAGTGAACAGAGGAGCACCACTGATCATTATGTGAGCAGAGCTATCTAGACCTGCATCCAGGGAACAGACTGGCACCACCCATGACCAGTGGACTGGGCCCTCTGCCACACATGGCTGCTCATTCTTCTCCCCACCTAGTACCCCTCCACACTGCCAACCCTAATGGATCCAGAGTCACACAGCCCCTCCTGCCCCTGCCGGCTCAGGGTACCGCAGGCCCCAAATCTTGTCCTGGCACTGCCAGCCACCAGCTCCTGAGCACACAACCACCCCAGGCCTGGCTCCAGGGGTGGCCAGCACATTGGCAGTCCCTCAGGATCTGCCAGTGGCACCAACCTGTGGAAGAGTAGGAGGATTGAGAGCAGGGTCTGGTCGATGTTCCTGTTGCAGATGCCCTGGTTGAAGAGGTAGCAGGGGTCCCGCACGACGGGCTCCAGAGAGTCCTGGCGCATGATGGAGCTCAGCTTGTCGGTGTTGAGGTTCTTGCGAACCAGCTGCTCCTGCAGCTGCCGGAAGCTGTTCACGGTGGGGCTGCCCAGGTTGTTGTTCTCACCCCCAGCCCCCTCCTCCAGCCCGCTCCGGTTGGCCAAGTCCAGGCAGCAGCTGCAGCAATCCAGCCCCACG